CCTTGGCCCTGAGTGTCTTATTCTCCAAGTCCCCTGATGTGGTAGCCTTGCACTCACAGCTTTGAGCAATTGTCCAATTTTTGGTCCTCAGGTATAGAAAACACAGTCCCTCAATTTGGGCAGTGACCCAATCATCTCAGTCCACTTGAGCAGCAGCCCCACTCTGTAGAAAGGGAGGAAGCTACTGTCCATGCTCAGAAAAGTGTTGGTGGGTGCCACTGAGTCAATTCCTACTCATAGACACCCATATAACACAGTAAAATTGCCCAACTGGATTTCTTCTATTGAAATTACCTGAGCAAATTGCTAGTTATTTTCTTCTGTGGAGCTGCTGAAGGCTTTGAGCCTCCAAACATCCAGGTGGTAGCAGAATGGCAAACCATTCTATCCCTCGGACTACTCTTTGACTCCTAGAAGACAGTTTTTCCACCCTCACATAGAAGCAGAACTGGCCACAATGGTCCCTCCAATCATTCTGCTGATTTGCAAACTGTCCCAGGGATGGTGCTTCTTTTTCTTGGAGGACAACAGATGTTTTCAATTGACTCACTCCTACAGCTCATGTCCTCCCTGAAGAAACACAAGAGGCACACACTTTTCTTCATTGTGGCCTTTCTTTCTCCTTTACAGTCAAAACCTACAGGGTTTGATTAGATTAATTACTCACAGGCATAATCTCTCTAATGGAATCTTGGCAAATGTTTCAGGACATCTTTCCTTAGTTTTACAACATACTTTTCCAAATATTTAAGTTGAGGTTTCCTTTTCTACAGTTCACTTTTTATGTTCGTCTCTTTCATCCAATATTTGATATACACAGCAAAGACAAACCATGTTGCCCTTTAAGATTTCACTTACCAACTTCATCAGCTAAATACTCAAATTCATCACTTGCAAGTTCTTCCTCCTACCAAACATTTATACGTTAATAAGATTAGTTTTATTTTCCTTATATAAATTATGATATTTCTTTTAGTCCTCAATACGATGATCAAATTTCCCTTA